ATCCTACAATCAAGCTTCCCCAGAACCATCATTGTCGACAACAGGAGAGTCGGGCGGGGGCACGATCACGCCATCCACGATCTGATAAGTATAGCCCGTCCCCTCAGTGACCAAACCAGGATTTAGCAAGGAAAGCTGGCCGACTGCGGAGTCGAACCCCTCCTCCATAGCACCGACGCAATCTGCTTCGAGTAGCCGGATATGGGCAACCAGCTCCGATCGACTCTTCAAAGCAGCTATATCCTCCGGCTCGTCCTCGGCAGGAAGCATGGCGACTTTCAGGTCCTCGATCTGTTGGGTTAGGCGCCCGATGTTGGTCTCGAGACGATCCCGGTCCGCCCGGAGAAGCTCTCCCTCCTCGGCTAGCTTCCCCGAGTTTTCCTTCTCCAGAACCAGCATCTCCCTCTCGGCAGCCAGCAGCGATGCCTGTTTGCGGAACATCTCCTCGGAGCGTTCCAAAGCAGTCCTTAACTTGCGCGAACTAAAGGCAAGGGCCGCTTTCTCCTGTTCCAATGCTTCAATGCGGACGGGATCCTCCCCTTCCTCAGACAGCACAACGGCCATTTCGGCCATTTTCACCAGCCCGACCATATTGGCAGCCAGGTGCCTCCTCCGGTCCTCCTTACTCATCCTCCTGATAGTCTCGGCCTCGTCGGCGACCACGGACAAAGGGAATCCCTCGAAGAAACCCTCCTCTTTGAAGCAAGGGGGCAGCCCGAAGGACCTTACGGCGCTAGAATCCTCGCCGACCGCCGGCCCGCTTTCCACCCGGTTCCTCTTTCTTTGTATCAGGTCGACATGTGGCTCGACCTCTTGAACCTCTGGGATTTCTTCCGACGCGGCCCCCGAGCTGAGCGACGAATCCACCCTCACAACATGAGGAGCGCCCGGACTATGCGGCGGGCCCATCCTCGTTGCTTGGGGAGCCTTCACAACCTTCCTGCCCCGCTTCTGGTCACAAGACAGCTTCAAGAGTCTTTCTCGTCGCCCGGCCATCGAACCTGCGCAAAATAAAAACCGGGTTAGTGTCGAGCAAATACACAAACAAATGACAAGCAAAGAAATTCAAGCGATAAACGACCTAGCAGACGAGCAGCCTGCCTGAACGACTGGCACTCCACGAGTGCCTTAGTATCGATCGGTCGGGCCTCGAATGTCGGATAACCCTCCTCGTCCAAGACATCTTCCCCCTCCCTCGTGGCCCACCTGGCGGGGTGGAAGCTGTCAACGAACCGACAAAGAGTGTCGTACGCCTTCTCATCCTCGGAACACATGTCGCCCGCTGAGGTATGATAGTATCCAGTCCCGTGCTCATAATGCCTGAACATCCAATGCACGGGGAACTTGGCCGTGCGTGCCATCACGGGATACCCGTCGTTGTCTAAAATCGCCTCCCCGTCATCGTCGCTCATCGGCGCCTCCTCCTCGTACAGGGATTCTAAAGCAGCCGTGGTAACCGGCCTCACGATATACCACTTGTCTTTAAAACCCCTTACAAAGTCCATGTACATCTTGAATAGTCTCCTCGACTGTTTTAAGGAGACCCAACTGTGCTTTCCTCCTCGGGACTGGCGCTGCAGATGGAAAATTCTGAAGAAGAGAGGTATAGTCGCCCCGATCCTCAGAAAACGACATGTCAACTCAAACGCCCGGATAAAGGCGAGCGAGTTCGGGTGTAGCTGCGACGGGGCCAGCCCCAGATGGGCGAAGACCCCGGCCTGAAAGTCACTGAAGGGCAGCTGCAGCCCAAGATCTTTGAACGCAATTTCGTACATGGGGAAACTATACTCGGGGTACACCGAGCAGATCCGGGCAGTGGGGGTCGGTCGCGTAACAATGAAATTCTTTTGAAAATCAGGCTGACCGTGGCCCGCCTCAAGGACAACATATGGCTTTCGGTTACGCCGACTATAGATCGACGCGATTCCTCGGGGCTCGGCGCCCACCCAATCCAACAGAGGGTCGTCGACAGTGTCGATCAAACTCATGGCCTCATCGGTACTTTGTTCCTCCCGTTCGGGGCGTCCAGAAGAGCACGGCTCGTCCGCCATGGTTACTTGCAGAGCACGGGAAACCAGTCAATTGGGCACGAAACCATACGCTCGACGTAACAGACCAGGTGTAGTGTACGACAAACCACGTCGCCCCATGCACGACCATAAAGTTAGTTTGCAACAAAATAGCAGTCGCCTCCCCGACATCCGGATAAATCGATGAGACCTTCTTCAAGCCGCCCAAGCAAACCGACAACGCGGTCACTCCCGAATATGCCGACCCAAGGTATGAACATAGCGAGCAACTTCATAAATCCTACAGCCAGAGCCATGAACATATCGGGCACGATCATGAATCAGGCGCCCTGGATCATGAAGACCCCGGGCAGCACTGCAGATTATAACCTAAACTATGTATCTACCGGCCACGAGCGTGTGTTTGCCGGTCCTAAGCATGAATTTGTCGAGCTAAACATGAATTTACCGGGCTAGTCCCACGCGCACAGTCCCTAAAACGTCTACAACGGTGGAAATCATGCATCACAACAGGAAAACAAAGAAGATAAGTCACTTACTTGGAATCAAGGAGTGGGTTCTGCAACGGAGGAAAGGAATCTGTGACAGGAATCACAGCTATGCTATGAAAATCTGGAAGAACAGCAGCAGTAGGAGCGCAAAGAGTAGTAACGTGTTATGGGGCCCAAGGATCCTATTTATAGTGATGACGTGGAATACCAAACGTCACCTCGGGCAACCACAGAGTTTCTCTCCTCGACGCACGGCTCCCAAGGCAATGATGACCCTATCATCATAGGGTGGCGCCACAGTTCCCGAAAGATACCTCGTGTGCTCGATAGACGCGCGCCGGTGAGGATTCCCCGAGCATCCACCGCGAAGGATTTGTCTCCGAGCACGACACGGAGAAGCCCTCGAGGAGCTGCATCTCTGACCCGGGCGCGAGACCCCGAAACGGAAACAACCTAAGATCAAGCCATGGCTCCTAACCCAAGGAACCACGACTTGGGGGCTCCTGTTCTGGACTGGGCCCGACAGGCCCAATAGCATTGATAAGGCGCAATCCAAACGGACTTGCTGAGGACCACGCCGACCAAAGGGTCACAGTCATGCCCGACGTGCTCCCTGAGGTTACTTGCTCGACCTCCAACTGTCCAGCTCGACATCCTGCTGTCCAGCTCGACATCACCTCGAGCATCCAAACTAGGGCAGACTCAGTCCACTGCACTCCCAACGAGACCCCGAAAAGACCGCGTCTCTGTCCGCCCGCACTTCACGCAGAACATCCAGGGAGGGGACCACGTGCGGGTCCCCACTACGCACGTAGAACCTGGCAGTTCCTCCATTGGGCCAAACCTGCCCGGCCCAATGAAGGAACCTTGGCCCAGCGCTGGGGGCTATAAATACCCTCTGTTTCCAGAGGGTCAGGTATTCATCATTCTACCCATACTTACTATTGCCTGCTCGTGCTCTTACTTACTTCAGCATCGGAGTGTCTTGCAGGTACCCCCCCACCTCGTTCAAAACTTTCAGCTCGGAGCCAGCCGTGACGGTCCAAGTCTGATCAGGTTAGATCAGTTAGGTTAAAATAAGTATTGTTTATAAAACACTTTATCCTTTATTAAAGCCCATGTGTTTAAGGGATTTTGTAATATTATATTTATAAAAGATCTGACAAGGGTATGAGCTGTACAACTCTCAAAAAGGGCGAAGACCATGTGTCGCTTTCAAAGAGGTATCACCTCGCTCCAAGGAGTTTTCTCTCATCCAAATCTGAGAAATGTGGAAAAAGACATTTCTTGGATAAAGAGAAGTCAGGGTTAGTAGATGGTCTACGTCTTCTTAGGAAGTAGGGATTCAACGTTTCACCATTGACTGAATGGTTGGTGACCTTTTCTAAGAAAATCCTAGACCCAAGGCCTCTATAAATACTTCTCTCTTAATAGAAGAAAGACAAAATATGAATTACATACTCATACCTAAGCACTACACTAATACACATAACCTTTCTTCTCACGTGAGCAGGTCATCTAAAAACCACAATAACACCAACATATATGGCTTCTCACCGTCGTGGGAAAGCCATAATCATCATAAACTGTTATAAACCTACTAATACCTTTAAATATCCCTTATCCTTGTAGAGATACCATGCACACTTGTACTTTTTAACAAGTACACACTCTATTCTAGTTTCTCGCCATTAAAACCAATTAAGTTTTTTTTTCTTCAAAGCAAATCGAAATTGCAAACACCTTTTCCTCTCTTGAAATACGGTTGATTGCAAAATACTGCTCAGTATGATAAATCCACCCATAATGATCTTCACCGGAAAAATACATAACCTCCAAACACCACATCTTCTCCTCTCTATGATCTAGCCGGCGTTCACGAACAACAACATCATCATCCTCACGCCGATTGTTGTTTTGTTGCACAATCAATATACACAACTCAATCATCGCCTCATCCAACAAATGTTGATTCTCTAGAGAAATCTTATCCATCGTCTTCTCTAAACTTTCAAAATGTTCCAATTGTGTTGCTACCATACGCACCTAGATCATGCTTTGAATACCAATTAATAAACCATTACAGAAATAACAAATAAAATAAGTGTAATAATAACCGGAAGTAATGAAATAAATGTTTAATGATGATTGTAATTTGTAACTAGCTCCTTACAAATGATAAATGGAAGATACTAATATTCACTTTTATTATAGGTGAAAGAGATGTAAGTTTTACAAATTTTATGTGAGATCCATTTCAAAAGTGAAGAAATCACATGTATTTCTTCAAAAGTTTTTTTTTTGTATAAAGAAATGAATATTTAAGAGAATGGACTTTCTCCTTTCAATCCTTACTAACTATTTTCCACGTGCTTTCCCTCCTTCCTCCCTATTTCCCTTTTCACCCCCTCCTCTTATCCACACGTGTGTTAAAGGCCTGACCGCCACAACAGTCAACGTCCTCTCTTTTCTAGTTAACATGGCAGACTCTTTTCTCTTTGATGTTGCAGATTCACTCCTTGGAAAACTTGCTTCTTATGCTCATGAAGAAGCTTCAAAAGCTTGGGGTGTGTTTGGAGATCTACAAGGGATCAAAGACACTTTGGCTATTGTCAAATATATACTATTGGATGCTGAAGATAAGAAAGACCAAAACCACGGACTACAGGAATGGTTGAAGCAAATTCAAAACATCTTCTATGATGCCGAAGATGTGTTGGATGAAGTTGAGTGTCAAAACTCACGAGACCAATTTGTTCAAGCTTCTGGCAGCAAGAGGTTGAAGGTAGGACACTTTTTTTCTTCTTCTTATTTTCGTCTTAGAATTTCTCATCGAATCAAAGATGTTAGGGATAGATTGAATAAGGTAGTTGCTGATAGGAATTTGTTTGGACTTGAGAGAATGGATGTCAATGCTAGTGTGGAAAGTAGAGAAATGAGTTATTCTCATGTTGATGCTTTAGATGTTATAGGAAGGGATGATGAAAAGGAAGAAATTATCGAGCTCTTGATGAAACCCCGTCCTCACGGTGGTGAGGATGGTGATAAAGGTCTGTGTGTGATTCCCATGGTGGGAATTGGTGGTTTGGGGAAGACCACACTTGCGAAATTGGTGTTCAATGATAAGAGGATGGATGGAGTTTTCCAATTGAAAATGTGGGTGTGTGTCTCTTATGATTTTGACATTAGGAAGATAATTGTTAAGATCATTAACTCGAGTTCAACACCGGTTTTAGCTCTTGCTTACCAAGAAAACATTGACCACTTTGATGATGAGCAGCTCGTGAGTCGTCTTAGACATAAGCTTTCTGATCAAAAGTTTTTACTAGTCTTAGATGATATATGGAATGTTAACCTTTCAAAATGGAATGAGTTGAAAGATTTGATAAAAGTTGGCGCAGTAGGAAGCAAAGTTTTAGTCACAACACGCAGTATGTCGATTGCTTCAATGATGGGAACCGTTCCTGTGTATACTTTAGAAGGTCTTTCTTTGGCTAGCTGCTTGTCTCTCTTTGTCAAATGGGCATTTAAAGAAGGCGAAGAAAAAAAGTATCCACGTCTATTGGAGATTGGAAAAGATATTGTGAGAAAATGCCGAGGGATTCCTTTAGCAGCGAGAACATTGGGAAGTTCATTGTTCTCAAAGTTTGATTTAGATAAGTCGGAGCTTGTAAGAGACTCCGAAATATGGAATTTAAGACAAAACAAAGATGACATTTTACCTGTGCTTAAGTTAAGCTATGATCAAATGCCGTCCCATTTGAGACATTGCTTTGCTTATTTTTCCCTTTTTCCAAAAGATTATCTCTTTTCTTGTGGTGAAATTTGTAATCTCTGGGATGTGTTTGGATTACTTCAATCACCAAATGGAAGTCAAAAGCTCGAGATTATTTCAAGAGATTATATTGATGAGTTACTTTCAAGATCATTTCTTCAGGATTTTGAAGATTTTGGCCACACATGTGTTTTCAAAGTACATGATTTGGTGCATGATCTTGCGGTGTATGTTGCAAAAGAGGGGTTCGTAGTGTTAAACTCTTGTACTAAGAATATACCTGAGCATGCAAGGCATTTATCAATTGTTGAAAATAAGTCATTTGATCGAACTTTGTTCTCCGATTCGAAGAGTGTGAGAAGTATTCTGTTTCCCATCCAAGGAGTGGGTCTTGATAGTGAAACACTCTTGAATTCATGGATATCAAGATATAGATACTTGCGTTATGTAGATTTAAGTGATTCTTCATTTGAGGCTCTTCCGAATTCGATTTCTAAATTGGACCTTCTTCGAGTTCTCATTCTTTCTCATAACACCAAAATCAAAAGACTTCCCGATTGTATATGTGAACTCCAAAATTTACAAGTGTTGTCGGTTAGAGGATGCACAGAGCTTGAAGCATTGCCTAATGGACTAAGGAAGCTAATCAACCTTCGACAATTGTTTATAACAACAAAGCAATCTCTTCTGTCACATGATGAATTTGAAAGCATGATCCATCTTCAAACTTTGGGTTTTCATTATTGTGAGAATTTGAAGTTTTTTTCCAACCCTGCACAACAACTCACTTCCCTTGAAACATTGTTTGTTCAATCATGTGGGAGCCTAGATGCTTTGCCTCTTTATATCTTCCCAAAATTACAAACTCTTTTAATTTCAAACTGTAAGTTGTTAAATCCATGGTTGAATGATGAAAGCCTTATCACAAACTCGAGCTCGATGAAACATCTATATCTTGGAGATTTTCCAAATATTTTGACATTGCCTCAATGGATTGTAGGTGCTGCAAACACATTATTTTCCTTGGTAATTAAAAATCTTCCAAACCTTACGATGCTTCCCGAATTCTTAACAACCATGACTTGTCTTAAGAGGCTTCATATTGTGGATTGTCCTCAACTGTTGAGTCTTCCAACTGACATCCATCGCCTGGTTGTCCTTGAAGATTTGAGCATAGACGGTTGTCCTGAATTGTGCAGAAAATGTCAGCCTCGAGTTGGTGAGTACTGGCCCGTGATTTCTCATGTCAAACATGTGTTCATCGGAGAACCAAAAGGAGAGGAGAATTGAAGTCTATTCATATATGATGTAAGTTTTAGAGAAATCAATTAATATTTGTAGATCAATCCTTTCTTAAGGAACCTATTGGATGATGTATTTGAACACAAGGAATCTAGTACACAGTGTAGAGTATTATTGTATGCAAATGATTCTGTGCAGTGGTGTTACAGTACAAGGAATTTGACAGAAAGTATTCGGAACAAAAAAAAAAAACATGATTTGATAAAGTTTAGAGTCTTAATTTTTTAGAATATATCACAAGGTAAGAATGCCATGTTGGATACCTTCTGGCCAAGAGGTTGGTGAAGTTGGAAGCTTGAGTCGCGGGATTAGGTTCGGGATTGCTTTTTCTTGAAGATATTCTTGTTCTCTGCAAACAAAAACATGTGGTAAGATAACATACATAAACACCAAAGTTAAGCATCCTAAATAGTAAATAACATATCTAGAAGACCAAAAAGAGTTCTATCCGTATACAATATGTTAGGAAGTTAGCTATTGAAATGCATAAATGATTAAAAGTAACACTAGTCATATTATCAAATTAAGAAAAAAGAAAATACCAGCCAACAAATAACTTAATGATATCTTATAAAACTTCAATAGTTTTTCGTTCTCCCTAGATAACAATAAGATATATAAAATTTGTTTAGATATAGGTAAGTGTAAGATTATTTTCACTTGCTGTATTTTTTCGTCAAAAATTGAAACCGATGGAGCAAGCAGATGTCATTGTCTGGTTTTCATGAAATCTTAGAAGTGATCGAAAACGACGTTCCTGAGCTTGCTCAGAATGCAACTGACGTGCAAAAAACTGCACACTAGGAGGCAAAAAAGAAAGATTGCAAGACTGTGTATTGCATTTAATCGATAGTAGATTCAGCGGATTTCGATAAGATCTCTCATGTTGAATCAACGAAAGAGGCGTGAGATATTCTTGTTAAGTACTACGAAGGAGGTGAGAAAGTCAATGTCGTCAAATTGCAGACTTTGTGATGGCAATATGAACTGCTGCAGATGGGAGAAGATGAAAAGTTGTAGGTTATGTGTCGAAGATACATAATCTCGTCCATCTCATGAAGGATTGCGGTGAAATCTTATCTGATAAGATGATAGTTGAGAATGTAATGTGTACGTTGACCTCTCACTTTGATCACATTATTGTAGCTATTCAAGAACCCAACAATCATGAAATCCTAAAACTGGAAGATTTGGTTGGTTTGTTGGAGGCGCATGAGATTAGGATTGTCAAAAGGAAAAGGTTTCAAGATTCGATACTAGCACTGCAGGATCAGGCATGGAAGAAGCATGGTGGATCCAACAAATTCAAAGGCAAATGAGATAAGACTCAGAGCAAAAAGTCTTGGTCGAACCCTCAAAAGCATAAGGTCGATGATAGGGCTTCTGAATCCTCGAAAATAGGAGAAGGAAACTCCTATCAGAAAGACAAAGAAGAGAAAAATGGCGTGCAATGCTATAAATGTAAAAAGTGGGGCCACTTGGCCAAAAACTGTTGGTGTAGGAAAGATAAGGGAACAAAAAAAGGCAAGGAGGAATGAGCAAATCTTGCACGCCAAGACTCAGATGATTATGAATATAAGGTGGTTATAGCTGCAGTTACAGATGACCATGTCCACTCCAAGATCTGGTTTCTCGACTCAGGCTGCTCAAATCACATGATTGGTTGAAAAATGTGGTTAGCAGATATCAATGAGTCAAAGAAAGAGTAAGGTCAAACTTGCTGATATAGCTCGTTACAAGCAGAAGGTATTGGTACATAGTTATTCAAAGGAGTAATGGAGCAAAAAATATGATCAAAGATGTACTCTATGTACCTGGAATGAAGTGCAATATGCCAAGTGTTATACAACTGGTCAAACAAGTTTTTAAGTAGTTATGAAAGATGGAGCATTAGAATTGTTCGACATGTAGAATAATCTGGTCTTGAAATCTCATATGTCGAAGGAAAGGACATTAAGACCATGATCAGTTCGACTGAGGTACAATGTTTGTAAACGGTTTTCGACCACAAGAATAATTGGTTGTTGCATTTGAGGTTTGTCCATCTGAACTTTAAGTCACTCAATCAACTGATCGCTCAAGATATGGTAACAAGTATACCAAGTCTTGTGATGCCCGACAAACTTTGTGAAGGCTGCTTAGTAGGGAAACATTATAGAAAGTCTTTCGTTTCGACTATGCCAATGAGATCCTCTTGCATACTCGAAGTTGTACATTCAGATGTATGTGTCCCTTTTGAGGAGCATGCCATTGGTGGAAACAAGTATTTCATCTCATTTGTCAATGAGTATAGTCAAAACTTTATATCTATGTGATCAAGCACAAAGAAGAAGTATTTTCAATCTTTAAGATATTCAAATACTTGTCAAAAATCAGAGTGAAAAGAAGATAAAAGTTCTGCGAGCAGATGGAGGTGGTGAGTACACTTCCAATATGTTTGAGTAATTCTATGCAGAACATGGTATTGATTAAGACCATGACCATATTGGATATGGCGAGATACATGCTGAAGTAGAAGAATTTGCCAAAATACTTAGGGGTGAAGCAGTCGCCACTGTTGTCTAAATACTAAAGAGGTGTCATACAAATAAATTGAAGAACAAGGTTTTTAAAGAAGTTTGGAGTGGAAAATAACCATCACTAAGTTATCTAAAGGTGTCTGGCTCTATTTGTTACAAGCATATTCCTGATGCGAGAAGAAGGAAGCTTGATGACACGAGTGAACCTATGATTATGGTAGGATAGAGCATACATGTTGTTCAATCCAATTAATGAGAAGATTGTGATGAGTCAAGATATTGCGATTGATGAAAATTTTGCATGGGATTGAAATTATGGTGATGCAATTGACAATCCATTGATGAGATATGGATTTGGCGAAGAAACTAATGAAGTCGAATTCAAAGAAATTGTCGATATTCTACTTGAAGTTGAAGTCAAAGCAGTTGCTGACATTCCAGACATAGTCGAAGTCGAAGAGGGTGTAGATAGTATAAGGCAAAGAACATAAAAAATCAGAGCCCGTCCAGTAAGACTTTAAGACTATGAAGTAACTGGTGTTGATGAAGTCACACCAGATCGAGAATTAGATGATTTTTCTTTACTTGCAGGTGCTAAACCAATCAACTATAGCAAGGCTTTAAAGAATAAACAGTGGAAGTCAGCTATGGTTGAAGAGTTACAAGCAATCGACAGAAAACCACATGGGAGTTAGTCGAATTGTCGACACACACAAAGTCTATCAAAGTGAAGTGGGTGTTCAAGTTGAAGCAAAAAGATGATGGGTCGATAGTAAGACACAAGGTGAGATTGGTAGCTCGAGGATTTCTTCAGAGAGAAAGACTCGACTACTCTGAAGTATATGCGCCTGTCGCAAGATCTGAGACTATCAGATTGGTGGTAGCTTTGGCATGCAAGCAAGGCTGGTCGATTTGCCACTTAGATGTGAAATCAACATTTTTGAATGGTCTTTTAGACGAAGAGGTGTATGTCACATAACCTTATGCATTTGTGATTTAGGAGGAAGCAAGGAAAGTATACAAGTTGCACAAAGCGCTTTATCGTCTCAAACAGGCAGCTAAGGCATATAACAAGAAGATCGACTCATACTTAGTCGAATTGGGATTGGTCAAATGCAAAATTGAGTATGGTGTCTATGTTCAGATTATGGCACATGATATAACAGTCATCTGCTTATATGTTAATGACGTGTCGGTAATTGGAAATAGCTTGGAGAACTTGTAAAAGTTCAAAAAGCTGATGATGAGGAAATTTGAAATGCCATATTTGGGAAACTTGTCATATTTCCTTGGCATGGAATTTCAAGTTATTAAGCAAGGCATGGTGCTGCATCAAAGGAAGTATGTCAAAGAGATACTCAAGAGATTTAGGATGAATGATTCGACTCCTGCATCTTCGCCTGTCGAACCAAATTTGAAACAGGAGAAGAATGGAGAGGAAGGCAAAGTTGATGAAACATTGTTCAAACAAATTGTCGAATCTATGAGATATGTGTGCAATAATTGACCTAATATAGGTTTCTCAGTCGGATTAGTGATCAGATACATGAGTGAATATAAGGTGTCACACATGAAGGCTGCAAGAAGAATCTTGAGATACTTAAAAGGATCAATGAATTATGTAATTATATTTTGACGAGATTCTGAAAGAAAAGAAGCTAAAGTTACTTGCTATTTAGATGGTGATTAGTGTGGAGATAAGGAAGATCAAAGAAATGCAACTGGTTATTTCTTTCAAGCCTTCGGTGTCCCAATATCATGGTGCTCGAGAAAGAAACCTATGGTGGCATTGTCATCGTGTGAGGTTGAATATATAAAAGGATCCTATGCTTTAAATCAGGTCCGTGCTTGAAGAAATAGAGGTCGAAGTGAAGAAACTTATGGTGCTGCAGATCGACAACAAGTCAATCATAAATCTTGTAAAGAATCAAGTTATGTATGGAAGGAGTAAGCACATCGAAGATAGATTTCACTTATTAAGAGAGAGGGTAAATCAAGGTGAACTTGAAGTAAGACATTACTCAAGTGAAGCACAACTAATCAACATTTTCACCAAAGGGTCGAAGATCGACAGATTCCTGAATTTGAGAAAGAAATTTGAAATAGTTCAGATCATCTATAACTATTGTATGTTTGACAACTTGGATTATAGGGGGTAAGTTGTGATATAATCCAAGTTGTGTATCCCAAGCCCAAGTTAATTAGGGTTTAAGGTTTGTTACTTAGTATAAAAGTTAATTTGATATAAATAGACATAATGTAAATCAGTTTTATTATTCAAATCAATAATACAATCCTTATTTTCATTTTCTCTCATTCCTTCTCTCACTCAAAGTACACCACACACTAAAAAATAAGACTTTACATGACTTATACATATTAATGTTTTAAAGAGAGCTCCATTAATATAGATGTTTAAAACACCGAGAGGTATTTCAATTGCACATGGGTTTGAACTCCACCAGTTGT